TCCCGTTTTCCTTAGACGTTGTAGGAAACTTGTTACGTTGGAAACGCTTGTGTGACTTTTAAGCTTTTCAAATTTGCAACCCATATTTTGGCGAAGAGTTTACACTGAAATATCAAAACATCTCAAATGTCTCTTTTTGATTTCTAACGACAAACAATTTTTTTTGTCCGACCAGACTGGCTTTTTGTCAGGCCAAAACTTGTCCTTGTCCTGACAAATGACCTGCCTATAGACAAAAATTATTTGCAGGCTTGGAGACATATTTTGTATGAAAATTTTAAAACGTGCAATTCTTCACTTCGCAGTAAATATGATTACTATGTTCTTCAAATTTGACCAAGAAACCTTTCTGCTGAATATCTTTTCTTTGTAACTCATAAAAATACTCAGAAAGTCAATCATTCTCAACTTATCGGGCATCACACTTTTAACTTTTCTCACACATTTACTGCCATTTTAGCTGCATTTGGCCCCCAAGCAAGATGACGTCAGAAACCGTGTAAAGGTCTATTACCATCAATTGCACCAATCACCAACTTTTATCGATAAGGCACTCCAAAAACAATTTGCGACACTCTAAAGGTCAACCTGAAAAATTATAAATAGGCTTCCAAACTACATGTATGCAAATTCTCACCAAAGATGTGAAAGAATTTCTCACCTCGGACATCAATTTCCTGAACGTTCATGGTCCTATTGTGACCTCATTCAAGTTCATTCTTATGAATTTCAGTATTCTGTATGCACAATCGGACCTCGCCTCATCTGAGTTATCTTAAAAATGAAGTTCATCCAAAACAATTTGATGTGCTTCACGATTTCACGGATGGCTTTTGGATTTGAGCTTACAACATTTCCACATTTGTATAGAAGAACCATGATCTGCTTCCTGGCAAAATGTGGAACTCATTACACGTATCGTGTTTCACAATAAAATCTTCGTCATTTAATGCCACCGCGGCATACTTTCACCGCGGTAACAACTTTCGTTACAGCATACCAATGATATACCGATACGGTTTAATACAAAATATTTCTCGAGGCTATTTAAGTTTAACAATATCAGCTTTTGTTTCGTCTTTCAAAACATTGTAAGCTTATGAGCTTAGGCTTCGTTTCTGGTGTTTGGAAAATATAAACAATTAATTAACCTATTAAACATGTTTAGAATTAAGCTTTTAAAAACCTTGGAGCAGCCAAAACCTCTGTTTTAAAAGATTACAAGCACGAGTTTGGGACGACTTCAAAGTAGAATCGTTAACGGACCGGCCAAGCGTGTAAGCCCAATATATTTGAGCTTTACTGCGCGAGATTTAAAATTTTAAAACAGCGTTTCGCTCACGTGTGAAGATCAGCGAAAGATAAGCTCAACCGTCACAGGCTCTGAGCGCCTCAACATTAGTTCTGTGAAACGAAAGAAAGATCTTCGTTTTTTCCATCGTTCATGTTAAATTGTAGAAAGAGTCAATGGTCCCGTTGAACTGAACTGGTCAATTCACAAAGCCCTACTCGCGCAGAATGAAACTCTCGCCTGCACATGGCTTCACGTCGGCTTCTCAGATAACACAAATAAAAAACATCCCAAGCAACGCGGCGTTAAGTGAATAACAGATTTACAACTTACTTTTTTCACTATTCCGAGCTCAAAGGCAACCATGCGAGAATATTGTCCACGAAACTCCGTACACAGAGGACCACAGCCAGCTCGCGGACTGATCGACTCAGCTTTCGCGGGTAATACTCACACCTCTCCCGTCAGGCTTTGCGTTGTAGTGGTCCTTTGTCCTAGCCAGCATGTGAAGGGGAGTATGGCCGGAATCCGGAATCCGGAATCCGGAATCCGGAATCCGGAATCCGGAATCCGGAACCCAGAACCCAGAACCCAGAACCCAGAACGGAAACCGGAACCAGGCATAGCAAAATTGGAGATGTTTTGAGGATGTTACTGATACTAATTGCTCTAGGAAGAATTTTCATCTCCACACTAGGGCAAGATGGCTGGTTCAGGTTCCAGTTCCTTTTCCTTTTCCGGATTCGGTGTTTTCCATGCGTCCCTCACCTGTAAACGGACTCTTTAGTCTGTTCTGGATTCGCAGACAAACGTCGTATACAAAATTCCTTGTGCCAATTGCTCGTGGTGCTACATTGGAGAAACGGGCAGAGCTTTCAACACCAGAAAAAAAAAAGATCATTTCAGAAATGTCAAAACAGCGGCTAAAGGCTCAAGGATTGCACAGGTATCCGGTCACCTGCGTGCGTCGGACCTCTTGAGTGAACGTTTCGTTTTAATTTAGCAAACTCATAACAGATGTCTTTGCTACTTTACGGCAGTCAAATTTTGCCCCTACAAGAAGGGTCGTCCAGGGGATACTAACATCGCGTCTCCATACAAAGCTCTATTTGGGTGAAATATTTCTCCAATGACCCAGTTATGAAAAACTGTGCAGACCTAATAAACGTTAGCAAGGTTATTTATCCCCATATCATATCTCAGATTCTTGACCTAATTTATCGAAGACATCGAATGGTTACCATCGTAATTCTTGATGACATGACAATGAAAACCAGCAAAATACGAACAAGGAGTTTAAAACGGGGTGTTTTAAATAAGGATTAAAATTCCTTTTTGCATTAGAAAACTTATAGAGAAATTGCTTTTAGTCCGAGAAGGTTGCGTGATTCACAATGTCACACTCGTCACGGGATTTGCGTTACTCTTTCGGCTCAGAAGATTTTCTCTATATCTTCTCAGGTAAATTTGAACCACATAGAAAAAAAAAAGAAAAAAAATGGTGAAAAGTCTTAAAGTAAAATAAAGAAAATGTACCTACCTTGACTGCTTTCTGGCTTTGACCGCTTTGCGAGCCCTAACCGTTTCGAACAACAAGAACGTAAAGTTTCAAAATTTCATTAACTTTTGTAACTTCGTGTGAAAAATGTCTCCCTTGTTTCGTGAAGCGCCTATTTCACTTTCCGTAAATTGTGAAAGGTTTTTATTTAATATTTTCTGTGAAAGGTGATCTACCACCTCCCCC